CATCGCAGATTTCCTGTCAGGCCGACGATAACAAATTATTTGTATTTATTTTTGTTTTAAAAATTTTTTTTGTGAAGAGTTAATTTAATTCTAAAATTTATAGGTACTAATGTCATTTTACTTATTCTATTCTAAGTCAATTTTCGTTTCTAAATATTCCCTAACTGAGTGAAAACATTTCGTTATTAGCCACATTTTAAGCTACTTTTTGAATATAGGCAAACTAAGCTCCGTTATCAAGCGTGGTAACTTATTATAGATTTTTTACACAATTCGGATAGCAGTTTTTATTGTAATAATAAAATTGGTGTTGATTCTGGCAAGGATCTCTAAACTTAAATTTGACATCACTGTATCCTTGTCATTCTCTATAAAGAATGTAAAGGAGGGTCTTGGGGTCATTCGCCTAAAGAAAATGCTATGGAAAACGCTAACGCTTTCGATTTTATTTTGATATTTCTAACCGCCGAAGGTTTTCAAATACCTCACGCTCATTTTCTTTAATATTGTTATTACCAATGCAAAAGAAAAAAAAAACAGCGCGAGGCATTGAAAACCTCAGGCGGCTAGAAATAACAAAATAAAATCGTAAGCGTTAGCGTTTTCCAAAGCATTTTCGTTAGGCGAATGGCCCCCAGATGTTAAATTAAGTTTTAAGTTTAGAGAATTATGCCAGAATCGACACCTTTGCCTCTATATTTTTAATCATGTGATCTTGACATTGGTCAAGCTTGTGTAATCTGTGCGACCTTGCCGTCTCGATTTTTTACATGTCTTGACCTATTTGAAATCCGAATATCCTGTCTAGATATTAGCATGCATAAATAACTTTGCTCCTAAATAATTATGGACAAAATACCTACTGTTGAAATAGAAATGAGTAAGGTACGGCTAAGCAATACGTATAACTAAATAATTAAATAAATAAATATTTTCAACACTCACAACAATTAGCCTAGCCCCAAAGTAAGTACTGTAAGGCTTGTGTTATGGGATACTAGGGTAACGGATACAATACCGTCGTATATCATCGTCTAACTGTGGCCATAATTCCAACGCGTACAAAGAAATTTGGTGACTCATTTCTTTGTCGCACTATCCGTAAATGGAATGCTTTGCCCGCTCACGTGATCCCTCCCTCTTACAACCTGGGATCCTTTAAAAGAGGCGTGAAGAAGCAACATGCCGGCCGGCAGGGTGAGGATGGCTGGTGTGGCAGGTAGAACTGCTGTATCAGCTATCTTCGCGTCTGGACTTCACCTTCACCTAACATCAGGTGGGGTGGAGTCATTATTCGGACCTATCTTTAAAAATCCATATATAGAGCACCTAATATCTTTACGAACAACATATCGCCTTCAAGATCGTTGCGTCTGTTTCACATACATATATCTATATATCCGCCCAGTTTTAGTACGGCTTCTCTTTTATTATCAAAATCATACAAAAACGAAAGAGTAAAAGTCTTTTTTATTTTTGCCTAACAACATAAATATAAAACTATTTTTACTACTTATAAAAAAAGTTTTCCGCCGTATAAGTTTGTTTGTGCTAATCCACTGAACACAGAAACAGGTTAGAAGGGTAACCAAAGATCGTTTGTACGGGAACCGATGTCGCCGGCTAGCCCACTTGCACCTAATAGATAATAACCAATCAAACGACGCGACATCAAACAATCGGACCAATCAGCGCTCACACCCGGGAGCAACGATGCAATCAGAACAAAGTTTTGGTCAAGTTATGAGCATTTGCTCACACTTAACTGTGGCGCGCCTGCCCCGCCCACAAAGACCTTCTAACCTCATTCTGCGTTCTGTGGCCGGGACCAGCAGTTTCACGTTTTTACCGAAGCACGGAGTAGACAGAGATGTTTTTTGGTCACCCATCCTGTGAGCGACTAGCGAAAGTGGTTCAACTTCCACGACCGCTGACCGAACGCGCTCTTATATATGTCATAGAAAACACGAAATGCAGGCAAATCCCATCCCATCTATCCATCAGCCTTTCTCCGTCCACTGCTGGATATAGGCCTCCCCCATAGAACGCCACAATGCGCGGTCCTGCGCTATCCGCATCCAGCGGCTCCCAGCACATTTGACGATGTCGTCAGTCCACCTTCTTGGGGTCGTCCGGTACGTGGTCGCCACTCGAGGACCTTTCTTACCCAACGGTTGTCAGATCCTCGAGCGATGTGGCCTGCACATTGCTACTTCAGCGTGCTAACTCTTCGGGCTATGTCGTACACACCGGTCCTTCTACGGATCTTCGTGTTTCGGATCTTAGCACGTAGGGAAACACCGAGCATAGCCCTCTCCATAGCACGCTGCGCGACTCTGAGTTTCGTTATGAGGCCGACATTCAGAGACCACGTCTCAGTCCCATAAGCCATCACTGGTAACACACACTGGTAATATGTCATACGTCAATGTAGGCAAATACTCTGCCTGAATCTTGTTTTTACGAGACTGTATGTATATTTAATTTTATTTAGTTGCAAACCAGTTTTCCGCATTTAAAGCGTTTTTTTTCACGGCTGTCATTTTGTTTTTCTGTGTTTGTTATAATAAGATACATATTTATTCGCATTTAAAAGGTCACGTGTCTGCATTAAGATGTAAGATGTGATCAGACGCTTTCTTAAAAAACACTTGAAAGTTTTACGATGAAAGCATTAATTTATTTTAAGATATTGAAGTGCTAAAAAACCTAAATAAATGATAGTTTGTCGTACTATTCGTAAGTGGAATTCTTAGCCCGCGCACATGTTCCCTCCTTCCTACAATCTGGGGTCCTTTAAGAGAGGCGTGAAGAATCATTTTTGCAGGCCTGCAAGGCGAGGATGGTTGGTATAGCAGTTTATAACTGATTTACCAGCTATCTTCGCGTTTGGACTCAATCACCACTTAACATCAGGCACGAATGCTATTGCCCGCGTTTCGCCCCTCTTCTCCTAGGAGAAGGGGCGAGGAGACGTGGGCGTCCGGGAGAGAGAGAGAAGCTGGACGGGAAGAACTACGCTTCCCTTCCCGCTCCCCCCTCCCAGGAACGGCGGCCCTTCTCTTGTAGTTCTGTCCTACAAAGGGGGGCGGCGGAGGGTTGTTTGGACGAGTACGCCCAAGAAGCCCTCCGCAGCGGACGGGGGGCGGTACGGTGGGCACTAGGCCGCGTACTCAGCCCCCATACGCGGGCCATCCTGCGCACGTCTGCGGGGTCCTCGCAATACCTCGGAAGACTCCTTTTTTTGTGATGCAGGCAAAATCTCTGTTTACAGACGACGGCGCCTTTAAGAGGCACACCGCGAACGGACCTCACACCCGGCTTCCGCAAACCTTACGAGCCCCCACAGTGGCTGCCCACTGAGGACCCCGTAAGTCTTACGGGCGCTTTACGGCATAATATCCGCTAAAAAACACTGCGTATACCTTCTAAGCTGCTTAGTGCGAAACCGCGGGATCCCCGTTTAGGGATTCTTCCGCGTACCTCGGAAGCTGCTGGGTGCGGAGTCGTGGTAGAATCCCTAAACGGGGACCCTGCAGCTTCGCATTAAGCAGTGTAGAAGGTATACGCAGGACTTTTTTAGCCGAAATTATGCAGTAAAGCGCCCGTAAGAGTTGCGGGGTCCTCGGTGGGCAGCCACTGGGGGGTCCGTAAGACTTACGGGAGCCTGGTGTGAGGTCCGTTCGGCGCTGTGCCTCTTAAAGGCGCCGCCGTCTGTAAACAGCATTTTTTACCAAAGTTACAAAAAAAGTGGGGTAGAGTCGTTTGCCTACCTCGCTATAAATAATAATCTAATATTATGAATGTGATGGAGGTTGGCATCTGTACATGTTTTAAAAGAGGAAGGGCATAGCTGATTTTCCACTCAAATTGGAGCGCCCGTCTCGAGAAGTAACCTCCGCACACTTCACAAAATTACTGAATTCAAATTCAATATTCATTTATTCATCTGTGAAAGTTGAAAGCTACGCCATCGGTTCGCAAATCTACGACGGGAGACCTTGTACTGAGAAGAACCGGCAAGGGTTTTTTTTCTCCCTGTATTATTTCATACAGAGTCATCGAACTGAAAGCTGACATCAAACTTATAAACATGTATTAAGGTCAACTTCCATCACATAATGTAAAATAGGTAACAATAAATATACAAAAGCCCCGAAATATCCAGCAAACAATTTTCAAAATACATGAGCAAGTTTAAAAAAGACACTTAGTGCAAGGTTCTCTTCAATACTCCTCTTGAGGAGACAAGTTTAATATAACTTTGAAAAAAATGTGATGGTAACAATACGGTATTTGACAGTATTAAAAATAAAGTGCTAATTGTTAGCATCTGTATTTAGAACGATTATTGGCAGGAGTTCTTACTATTTTTACCAAAAAAATATTCATAATTTTACTAAAAAACCACGATAAATATAATAGTTTTCTTGTCTTTTGTCACGTGACCCAAAACGTCAAACTGTCACTTGTCAAATACCCTATTATTAAGGCCAGGCGGTTTTATCATACAAATATTGTTTAATAGTATATTACTATTAAATCTTATATTAAACCTTTCTTTAGCAAACAATTTTTAATGTGTGTTTTAAATTAATTTAGAGGCAAATCAAGAATGTCACTGGGAATCTTATTATAGAAATGTATACCTTGACTCATAAATGGTCCATGAACTTTATGTAACCTGTAAACAAACTTAAATTATTTGTTTTTTTCCTAGTATTTAAAGTATGTGCGTCACTGTGTTTGAGATAAAAGTTAATATTGTTTCGAACAAAATGATAAATTTTAAATCAACATTCAAAATCTCAATTTCTTTAAATTTTTCTTTGAGACATTGTCTTGAGCTAAGTTGATAAATAGCACACTGGCTTTAATGAAAATTTAAGAGAATTTATATTATAAACATGTTTGTGCAGGAAAATCGTTTTTTTTAATTTCTAATAAGTGCAAAAGAGGTGTCGCTTCAACTTCGTTTCATATACTCTATCTCATTCCAGGCCACATCCCGCCAGATCACAGTCACAGCCAGACGGCGCAATCGAACCTCAATCCGGATCAAATGTACGTATACACCAACCAAATTAACGTACCACCCCCCATAAATACAGATCAGTACCCGCGCGACCAAAACTACCCTCAAAATTACGCGGCACCCAGGGACAACCCGCAGAACTTAGTCATACACAGACAATACGACAACTCCAGCCCGTACGACGAAGCGAAGAAGGAGCATAGACAAGCGCCTAGCAAGCTATCAAAAGTTGAAGAGCCCAAAGAAAACTTGAAGCCCAACGATCAGAACAAGATGTATTATCAGGATTACCCGCAAGAGAAGACTGAACCGGCCAAGAGCGAAGATGTGGCATTGGACATCAAAGGGGAGTACAGCTGTTACAAATGCAATGCGGTGCTGCCATCTAAAAGGCTACTGAAACAGCATTCGAAGACTTGCAGCGAACAGGACGGGGAGAACAGCGAGAAACTTGGCAAATTCTGCTGCAGTCAATGCTCTTATAGGTGTCAAGCTCCTGCCACTTTGAAAATCCATGAACGCACACACACGGGCGAGAAACCTTTCTCCTGCACCTTCTGCGAGTACAAATCCGGCCAGAAGAACAACGTGGCCAAACACATCCTTGTTCACATGAAAGAAAAGCCTTTCAGATGTCAGTTTTGCGATTACAGATGCGCACAAAAGAACAATTTAGTCGTCCATGAAAGGACGCACACGGGATACAAACCCTTTGCTTGCCCCTACTGCGATTATAGGACCGTCCAGAAACCAAATTTAGTCAAACACATGTATCTTCACACGGACCAAAAACCTTTCAGCTGCGACTTGTGCAACTACAGGTGCGTTCAGAAGACTAACTTAACCAAGCACAAGCAGAGGCATCTGAACGAAAAGGACGGGGACAAAGTTGAGGGGAAAGGCCAAATTAAGCCTTATCGCCCTAGACAGAAGTCTGTTAAATGCCCTCACTGCCCTTACAGGTGCGTTCAGAAAGCTAGTCTCGAAAAACATGTGGTTTTCAAACACAGCAATGGTGATATAGCAGACCAAGGTCTTAACCTTATGAAGACGGCGGAAGATGAGTCTGTACAGAATTTGTGCGTGAAAATAGACGGTCAAATGCTAGAGTGTTTACCTCAAGGCGTAGTGAAGGAGTCACTCCAAGTTCAGTCATAGTTTTAAGCGTGATATTTTAAGTGTCATTCTGTTTTGACTTGCGTGATGAATGACAACAATTTTCTACGGTCTTTGTAAATACGTTGTGTAGTTTTTTTTTCAATGTTCAGTAGCTTCTGTTTTAATGAATTTAGTCATCGTCCATGCAAATCAAAACGGAATGGTGGGTTGTTAGATATATAAAGGCTTGGAGTTTTCTCGTTTTGAAATATATTTGCTCGCATATATACATATGGAATATATACAAATGGAAATCAGGTGCGAAAATTCCTTCGCTTAATCGCCCTAAAGTTTTATGGGAAATGCAAATCCTTCAGCATTATCAGTCTCACAAAAGGATTTAACAGCCTCCCATGAATTGATGAATGTAACCTTTTCTTCGTTTTAACGGGGACAATGCGTTTAAGTACCGTCCCCGCCCACTGGGCTAGTGAGCGGGGGTGTGTGGGACTCTCCCGGCCAAAGAGATAGCCGGGAATACTCCACTAAACTCCCCGGGAACTTCGCCTCGCCATAATTGAGCGGGCTACGAGCATGCGCAGGGCGCTGCCTCGTGTAGGCCTACTCGGCGGTTGATGAATGTAACCTAACCTAACCTAACCTTATATGAAAAAAATAGAAATCATGTCAGCCGTGCGACGCCGACTGTTGAGCAAGGGCCTCCCCCAAGGATCTCTACGTTGATCAGTCTTGAGCTGTCCGTATCCAGGGGCTTCCGTTTAAAATTACTCAATTAGAATGGTCCGGGTAGATTAATTAAATTTAATGTATATTTGAAATTTCAAATAGTAAACGTATTTATTATCTATTTTGATATATTATTATTTTGTTATATTATTATTTTAACATAACAATAAGCTATTTGACAGTTTGAAAAATAAACTACCAATTATTAACATGTTGTATTTGACAAGAATGTTGGGAGCGATTTCAGTATTCTGACAAAAATAGTAATTGATAATACATATTACTAAAAATCATGAAAAAGAAACGAAGCGAAAGCGTCTAGATTTTGTGTAGCCTAAAGTGACGTCACCTGCTTGTAAACATGTTGTCGAAATGACATTATGTACTTTGCAATGTTAGACGTTTTAATGACAGCCATGTGACGTCACATGTCCGTGAGACGACATATTGGCTAGAGAAACGTTTCTGCGGCATATTAAAAACATAAAATTTTATTTTCGTTTTTTACTGACAATTATAAATATCTACTTTTATGGTATCACTATACACTTACACATAACTAATGGACGTTTTCAACAACTCGTCAAATAGCTTATTGCTTGATTTTTATATATAAAGTTTTTATAATCTCTAATTAATTTGGAAAAAAAAGTGTTGTATTGTAAATGTAATTCATATTGACTTATTAGTTTTTTTTTTCATCAACCAAATCATATTTAAAGGAGTAATCACTAGACTCCATCCCTCTGATTAATAAACGAAGAATAAGCTTGGATTACATCTAGCAGTTAAATGCTTAAAAAAAACAACTATAATTGCTATTTCTTCTTTCAAATGTTTAATACTTGAAAAAGTATTCGTTTGACTTTGTGGGTTACCTACAATGCGAAGAGATGGCGCTGCCTTGCAGCTTAAGGCTAGGAAAATTTCGACGCGGCCATCAGGGCCGTGGTAGCATAATTGATCAGTGCATTCGCCCGGATTGCGAAGGGTGCGGGTTCGAATCCCGTCCGCTGCCTGGTCCGCGTGGATTTTTTCTAGTAAAACTTTTCTTTAGATTTAAACATCTAGCAGTTAAATGCTTAAAAAACATAAGCTTGGATTGGTTATTCCATGTTTTGTCTTTGTCCAATCAATGACAAATGTCATCCGAGTGACAAGAACAAAAGACGACGTAACTATAATGAACTTATTCCTTATTTATTAATAAGGGGACTTAAGAGAATTTTTCCATTATTATTATATAATTTAATTTTAAGATGTTTAGTATTGCACTTCTAATTTCGAGTGTATCAAATGGTTATCATCACAATATGTATGCACATATTTATACATTAGTATATGAAGTTAATAAATTAATCTGTGATTTTTCACAGAAAATTATTCACCAAAAACAAACTTGATTATGATAATTAATAAATTATACAATCTTACCGGTTTTACGGTAGGTCAGGCGTCAGTTTTACCATTTAGCACAGAAGTGCCCAGACAGTTTATAAACATAAATATCTACATTAACACATAATTATAAATGCCAAAATAAACTATCTGTCTGTACAATTTCAATAATCGGCCGCACACCGGAGCCACAGGTTACATGCACGCAACATTAACCTTGCCACAATATGCACGCTACATTGCTTTCGTCTCGTTACTAAATGCACCCGCTACAAATGTATCCTAGGTGCGCGTGCGTGCGTGCGTGCGTGCGCTAAATGTGTCGCGTTTCAAATGTGCGCCAAAATTAATCGTTATAATACAATTGTATATCTGGTCTGCAGCCCGCCTTAAGGCTGCTGCATACGTGACGAGTAAATACTTCGGACGGGACGTGAGCGGGACGGGCACGTGGTTATCTCATTCAAAACGGGAACGTGGTACAAACGCATACGCACCGTGACAGTGATTCGGATCTAACGTGCTAGTGTTGATTTTATAATGATTGAAAATGTAATTTTATAATTTTATATTCTTGAAACAACGCGTCATTACAGATCTGTTCGGAATGAGCAGAACAGAGCGAGTGTGCTATGCATACGTAGCGAAACCACGAGCGGGACGGGGCACGCGCAGGGTGTGACGGTACGGGGACGTGCTAAACATCGTACCCGTGACATATGCGTTTTTGGATACGTTGTGTATGAAACGATGTTTCCAAAACTTCCCGTCCCGTCCCGTCCGGATAAAAACTCGTCACGTATGCAGCGGCCTTTACTATACCGATCAACAAATATTGTTGAATCTTTTATGGACATTGAACTTTCTTAAAGGAGTTAAGCGTAATATGGATCATTCCTTTCCTGGATGTCCTTACTCCTGAAACCTTAATGGTTTTTTTTAATCCTCAAAAAATCCATATCGTCATCTGTTTATCCTTCTGCGTGGGAAGATGTTAATATCATTCCTTTACTTAAGAACTCCAAACCGGATACCTTTTATGATTACAATATTGTCTTTCCTTTCAAAAGTCCTTGAAAAACTAGTCCAGCAACGGTTTAGTAGATTCCTTTCCTTGAACGATCTTTTAAATCCATATTAATCCGAATTCCGTCCCGGTCATAGTACGACTACTGAACTTGTCAAGATTGCAGACGTTATACGTGTGGATATGGAGAATCGGCAGCTCACCGTATTAACGCTGTAGGATTTTAGTAACGCTTTTAACATGGTCGATTTTGATATTGTATTGGCAATGCTGGTTTCTCCTTATGTATCTCCATAGGTGCTTGACTTGTTTCATAGTTACCTGTTCGCGTGGATAGAAGTTTTTCATCATGACGCGATACAACAGCCGGCGTTCCGCAAGGTGGTGTTTTGTCTCCTCTTCTCTTCTCCATTTTCATAAATTATACCCAACAGCCAACGCGGTTACCAACAATTATTTGTAACTTATATTCGATAAGAGTAAAATTATTCGAAGCCGTTGGTTTCTGGCTAAAATCAAACCAAAACCACCGATTTAATTAAATGGCGTTCACACAGCACTACGAAATTCTGTCAAAAACCGTGGTGTGCTGTTTGACAATAACTTATGTTGGCAAAGTTAGTAGGAGTGTGTTTGACGCGTATAGCTCGCGCAAACATCTGAAAAACCTGTTGCCGACCAAGATTAAAATTTCTCTTGCTCAATCCCTTTTTGATTATGCCCCATAATTTGATCCCCCCTTCCCTTTTCCACCACCGGACGACCAGGCGCGGCGAGGGCTTCCACCCTTATGTTGTCGAAGTTCCTCTCATTCGCACGAAGCGATTTGCTTCGGCCTTCATTATGCGAACGGCTAGGGAGTGGACCTCCTTGCCGAAGTTTGTTTTCCCGGACCAATATAATCTGGACATCTTCAAGGCCAGAGTGAACAGGCATCTTCTAGGCAGGCGTGTACCATCCTAGGCCTCATCATCGCTTTCCATCAGGTGAGATTGTGGTCAAACGCATTGCCTATTTTGCATAAAAAAAAATGCTGATGCATGTTATTCTGACCTTACTCTAGTATTCCTGAATGAACTTGTAAACGCCTCCAGAACTTTTTTATGCGGTTAATCTTCGGTCCGCTTAAATATAAATAAAAATGCCAAAAAAAAACAGCAATTACACTCATTTAGCTATTGAATTCGATGTTACAATATTGTTTCCTTTAATAATACTAAAAATCTGAGACGTTTCTGGAAATCGTTAAAATTTTGAAATTATAGATAAAAATAATATAAGTAGTTATAAATAAAGATGAAGAACTTACTTCTCAGTAAGCCTACAACATATACAATCGATTTGAAATCGGTTAATTTTATTTTTATGTAAAAACATACCACTCTGTTTATTGTTCGAGTGTATTTGCAAGCAAATGTATTTCAGGCCATATAATTATATTGTGATATAAATTAAGGTAAAATTAAAACAAATGATTAGTTTTAAGAATTTCTGTGCTCTCTCGAGTTCCTGTGAATGTAATATTTGTCGCAGTGATTTTAGCATAAAACAGATTATAGTTTGTAAGCCTAAAAAAATTGTGGCAAATTTTTAAATGATCACCAAAACATAGTCAATTATGGATCATCAAATAAACAAACCTGCCAACCTAACTTGACCTTTAGTTTTGAAATTGTATTTTTTGGTAAAGACCTATTTGAGGTGATCATTTAAATGTTTTTCAAGAATTTATTGTTAGACAATGTTGCCATTTGAATACAGAAACGAAGTTTTTAAATGTATTTTCTGAGAAGTGGAGTGTCCTTAATTTTATTTATAAAACGTATTTAATCGGTTTATGAAGCGCGGATAATTATTTCATTATTCACTTCAGTGCGTAATCAAAACGGTACGTCAAGTATTACGTGAAAATTAAAATCTAAAATAACATGTAACGGTTTAATACGCGTACATTACTTATTTTTCCAAACAAAAAGTGTAAATACTAGAGATGGGCCGACTAGCCGCCGACTAGTCGGGAAAGACGACTATTCGGCATCGTTTATAGTCGGCGATTAGTCTGCGACTATTCGGCAAAACATGCCGATTATAATCGGTATATAAAAATGAAATAAAACTCAAACTTATGCTTGTTGTGAATATTTAAACAGTACCTAGAGTACAGTACCTATCTATGTATTTAAAGTTACCTATAGTCTTATTTTTTTTAAATAGGGTCACATAATACGAATTAGGAACTTAAAAATCTGTCAGTAATTCAGATAACTTAACACAATGAATATCGCACATAACAAAATAGCAATGGGAGATATGTATTAATTGAGTAAAATCTTAAGTGCTAGCGAGTCTTAAAGAAGTCCATACGTATTTTTTTTTCTTAGCGGAAAATAGGCTAGTTGACTCTTTTTGGAAAAAGGTTTTAAATGGTTAATAAATGTTCTATTAGACCGAAAAAAAATGTATTGTATTTTTTTTAAACCTAGAAAGCTACAAATCTTTAATTTTAAAATAGACTTTTCATGGACATACAAAAACGCTGTCGGCCATTTTAGTCTATAGATTGTCTATGCTATGACGTGAACTGTGGTAAACAAAAACTCGTAAACACGTAGAAAATTACTTTTAACTGAGTTTATAATAAAAAAAAAGACATGATTTCTAATAAATACCACGAAAAATAAAGTAATTATCATTATTGTATTGTACGAGAATATAAAAACACATCCTTGAAGACTCCAGGAAAGTTGTGGATTAAAGTGCCGAAAGAAATTAACCTACGCAACTTTATTACACTTATTCATATGTTGTATCAGTTTTATGTTTATTACTACAGTGGTGTCAATTCTGGCGTGCATCTCTAAACTTAAAACTAAATTAAAGGTCAGTCTCACCTTTTCATTCTGTATAGAGAAGGACAAGGATGCACTGTTGTCAAATTTAAGTTTAGGTTTAGAGAATCATGCCAGAATCGACATCATTGTAATACTAAAGGCACTGTACTTACATAGATGCCTTGTCGTTTCTCTGCTCCGCAGAGCAGAAATCGGGGTTTAGTGCAACAAATTCACCAACCATCAATGCGTCAATTCTTGGCAGATTTGTGCTTTCTGCTTTCACAAAGCCGGCATCCATAACTTGTTTAGTCAAAAAAAACTAAGTTTACTGTTTTTTTCTTTCCTAAAGTTAAAAGTGTTTTAAGATAAATTTAGTCAGACGAAAGAATCCACCTACAGTAACACGCGAATGACATTTAGTTGTTTACCACAAGTGACGTCAAAATCATGGCGAATGTGGCGAACAAGGGCGAACAGCGTTTTTAGTGTTTAAAAAATATAGACTAAAAAATATTTTTTAAAATTAAATTTCTACAGCTATC